CGGCTTCTCCCTCCCTCCCTCTCTTTGCTCCGTTCCCAGAGGCGCCTCGCGGTTCCTAAGACCCGGATTGGATTTCCGCTTCTCTGAGGGGAAGGGTCTCGGTTTCCACCTCCCGATCTGTGCGCGTCACCGAATTCTGTCCCACCCCCACCCCTACCCCTGTGTTTACTAAACCGTTGTTGAGAGGAGGGGTCCAGGGATGACGCAGGACCACAGCTTGAAATCCTGACGGCCTCCTCGGAGCTAGTGGTCGGGTGGGGGGGCAGAAACGGGGACCCCCGAGCCCAAAGAGAACAAAAAATTTGTTTTTATTCTTTAATTAGTAAAAAATGGTACACATGGACGCTCAGAAAAATATTTACAGTTTCCTTTTGTAGCTCCTCGGGGTTGGGAGGGGGGAAATAAAACCCAAAAAAAATAATAATAATAATTTTGGATCAGCCCGTCTTCTCGAACACTGCAGGATCCCTGCTCGTTGATTCGCAACCTTCAGCTCCGGCCATCAAGTCACTGTCAAGACACGAAAGGGAAGGACTGTTGTTTGTCTCCGGCGCACCTCACCCGCTTCAGGAACGCCCCACACCCGCCCACAGAGCGCTGCGGTCCCGCCTGTAAAGGAAACATGACTGGCGACCTGCACGCAGCAAGATCCCAGGCAACAGAGATCTCTGTTTCTCCTGGCTACTGGTGCTGACTCGCAACCCCATCCGTCACCACTGACATAAAGCGGTAGCGGCGCTCATTAGGAATGCTCGGCTGAGCTCCAGACCTCCCTCCCTGCACCCACCCACCCGAAATGCAGAGGGACAGCAGTGTGTACTGTCTATAAGAGACACTGCAGCAAATCGCGGGGGGGGGGGGGGGTGGGTGAGATACAACCCCCAATCCCGACTGGGAATGACAATGGGCTGTTCCTTCAGTGTGACCGGGGTCAGAATCCTGGAACTCCCTCCCTAATGAGGCACAGTGCGGGGTCTCCCTACACCACATGTAGGGGAGGTGAGGGGCAGTCAGGGACACCCACATCCATGTTAAGGATGTTCAGACCTAGTAAATATAGGTCCCCAGGTGGCTGTGTGATCACTGTGACAATCCCAATGGCGCGGGACCAGACCATACACAGTTAGCTGCCCCATGACAGGAACATGAACCACCATGTCACGGCTGACTGAGGTGGGGTGGGATCAAGCGAACTGCAGTCAGGGAAATCTTACCGACACAGTGATGATATTCCAATCAAAAATCTCTGGTCTACTGGAAGAGAGAGAGGGAAAAAAAGAGACGCAAGTGAGTTTTCACTCATACAAAGTGGGGTTTGGGAGATGATTCTGAGAGAGTGTCGTCAAGTGGTTACCTTGGAGGGGGGGCCAATTCCTGGCTCTTTACGCCCCAGTCTCGTGCCCTCTTTCCAGCCCATCGCCTGCATCATTCGGTTCCCGATGCCGTGACTCGTATTGTCGTACCTAAAGGGTGGGAAGAGAGAAGAGGAAGATTCCAGTGATCACCTCAGTGACTCCAAGCCACCGCTGGCCGCTACACAAGCCCCCGGCCTCAGTGCCCCGCAACAAAACTCTGCGTCACTTACGCGGCTTGTGTCCTTTTCCGCTTGGGTTCGACGGTATCCGACATTCCCAGTTTTCCCCGCCTCTCCGTTACTCTGAACTTGAACTACGGGCAAAACAGAAAACGAAAACACACAGTTTATTAATGCAACGACTTTCAGGGAAAGTAAAAGCTCTAGACTTTTCTATCACGGTCAGGCAGTTTGTTGGTCTCTGTGCCATGGGAAGGGTATTATTGAAACTGGAGAGAGTTTCAGGAAAGATTTACGAAGATGTTTTCGGGAATGGAGGGTTTGAGTTATAAGGAGAGGCTGGGACTTTGTTCACTGGAGCGTAGGAGGTTAAGGGGTGACCTTATAGAGGCTTATAAAATCATGAGAGGTACAGATAAGGTGGATGGCAGGTGTCCTTTTCCCCTATAAGACCATAAGACGTTGGGCCAAAGGAGCAGAATTTAGGCCATCGAGTCCGCTCTGCCATTCAATCATGGCTGATAAGTTCCTCAACCCCATTCTCCCACTTTCTCCCCATAAACCATGATCCCCTTGATAATCAAGAAGCCATCTCTATCTAGCATGGGGGATTCCAAGACTGGGAGGCATATTTTTAAGGTGAGATGAGAAAGGTTTAACAAAAGACACAAGGGGCAATTTTTTTTACACAGTGAGTAGTTCGTATGTGGGATGAACTTCCAGAGGAAGTGGTGGATGTGGGTACAGTTACATTTCAAAGACATTTGGATAAGTACACGAGCCTGGAGCAGGCAGGTGGGACGAGTTTAGTTTGGGATTATGTTGGGCATGGACTGGTTGGGCCGAAGGGTCTGTTTCCGTGCTGTGTGACTTTACGATCGCAGTCCTCTTCCTCAGTTTGTGCCAAAGTAACGACCTGCAGACGGGAGGGTGTGGAAAAAGGGACAGGACCAGGGTCTGGCTGTGATGCCCTCCACGGTCAAACAAACCGCCTCATGACGACCAGAGGGAACTGCCAGAAACCCCCACTCCCGGGTGAGTGGGCAACCTCTGGAGGAGCTGGATAAAGTGGCTGGAAAGTGGGGACAAAGACTGTGAGCAACAGCCCCGGCTGTTTCACCTACATGTCCGCGCCCGTATGACACTGGGACCACACTGTGCACAGTTCCAGTCTCCAGGTTATAAAAATGGTACACAGGCACTGTAGGAGGTGCAAGACTCACCAGGATGGCCCCATCTCACCTCCCGCTATCACCCTGTCTTCCTATTTATTTCCACCTCACATGTTTAATCAGTCCCACCCTTCCCCAAATAAACACACTGACACAGTTCACGGCCCTCTGCACTAACCGAGGTCTGGTACAAGTTTTAACCTCCTTTTCCCGCCCGGAGAAAAACCTGTGCAGCAATGTAATTTTTCTGTCACCCACCTCTCTCTCACTCTTCTCCAGAGCTTCCAGTTCAGACTCTGAAAGCTTCGACCGTCTGTGGATTTCCAGGTTTTGCTGAAAGATTAAGACAAATTTCACTGCCCGCACTCCTCACTGCAACCGGCCACCGATCACAACCACTCTCGCCCCAGTCACATCACCCTGCCTGGTAAAGTGTTTGATCACTCTGAGCCACCGGAGATCAGTGTGAACAACAGGGACAACTGAGACCCTTTCCTGAGCAGGGTGAGGGATTTATCGCCTTGTGTGCGTTTCCCACCCCTCCCCCCCGCCCCGCCCCCAGACAGAGTTCTGGGAATCTGATCCCAGCGACACTGAAGGAACGGTTGATTTTGTTCCCAGTTGGGGTGGTGTGAGGGTGTGGGGTTTTCTGTCCGTCCTGTTTTAGGTATCACGGTATTGGCCCACGCCCCACGTGAGACATTAAGCTGCAGGACAAGAGGGGGGTTGGGCTTGGCAGAGGACAAGCCAGGCTTTCAATAGCTCCGAGTGACGTTGCAGGGAGAGGAACGAGCCATTACTCCCAGGCCGTGGGGGGGGGTTCACGTTACCTTGTGCAGTTCTGAGAGCTGCTGGTGTCGGATGAGGGCCTCCTTGCTGGGGAACTGTCTCCTGCATAGCAGGCAGGCCAGCTTCTGCCAGTCGGTCAGCTTCTCTTCCTGATCCTCCTCCTGGTCCTCCTCGCTGTCGCTCTCTCCGCTGTAGGCCGCCACCAGGCCTCGCAGTGGGCTCGCCTTCTGCAGCCAGGCAAAGCAGAGGACAGAACGTTACCTCGGCCCGTGGAACACGAGACGCAGGATTCAGTCTTATTTAACATCATTTCGTCGGGAGCTGGGGTTTGTGCTACTAGCCTGTGGGTTTTGGAGTGGATGGTGAACAGCTAGGTATTTCTGTAGCCATGGTGACAGCTTCTTTAGAGGCAGTCTTCGAGAACTAGTTCTAACAGGGATACGTTTACATGCGGTCAGACAGAGCAAGCAGGTGCACATTAGGTTTCCAGTTGAGGTGGTGGGAAATTTATTCTATTTTATTTTTTTTTCTTTTGATTGACGGAAACATCTATAACTGGGGGAAGTAGGCTTTGGGTGTTTCTGCTGAACTGGCTGTGCAAAAGAAATAGTTGTTCCTATGAAACGGTTTTGAGATGTTAAGAAATAGGTTACTCAATGTACGGACCAGACCAGAAGTGTTTAGTTTAAGCTCAGTTGTATGAAGAATCAAAGTAGAGACTCTCATGTTTAAAACCAAGAACTGAACTTTGTGCGCTATAGAAGAGTATCGTAACAGTGTGCTGTCAGGATCATGTCTTACTGTGTGTTTCAAAAATCCTCAAACGCATGTTATACATGAATGATTGTTCTATTTTAAATTAGATTGTTCTAGTTAATCCTCATTTCTTTTAAGCAATAAACCTGTTTTATTGTTAAGACTGAGTGTGCGGCGTTGTGTACATATGTTTCAGTGAAAGATCGGGTGGGTGGGTGGGGGAAGCAAACAAGGGAGGAATGAATGGGGGGGCCAGGGAGACAGTGAGTGAGGGAGGGAAGGAGCAAGGGAGGGGCTGGGATGAGGGAGGGGTGGAGGGAGAGGGCGAACGAGGGAGGGAAGGAGGCAGCAGTGGGCAAGTGAGAGGGCAGGGGCGATGGAAAGGTGAGGATGGAGAGGTGAGGTTGGGAGGGGGATTGAGGACAAAGGCTGAAGCTGCTATCCACTCCCTGTTGCTACTACAGGGTCCTTCACATGCTCGAGGAAAGTCGGGGGTGAGGGGGAATGTTGGAGGTGGATTTAAGGTGATCCTGCAGAAAGGTGGGTGCACACTTTTATCCCTGGTTTCGTACCAATCGATTATCCTCATCTTTCACCTTGTCAGTGGTGCGTTTCAGGTGCTCCATCATGACATGCTGCCTCTCTGCGAGGGTGCTCTGAAAGGAATGAGAGTTTCAGTCAATCAGGAAAGCGAGGGCCTCAAGGAGGTGATGCTGCGGTGAAGCCCAGGCTGCCCCCCCAAGCCACTGGGGAGTGAGCTGCTGACTGGATGCCCCCTCACTGCAGCATTTCGTTCCCCTGCCACCCCTTAGGCCCCATGGTCACTTACTGCTGACCCAGGAAAATGCCCACTGGCGCTATTCCACTACTGAGGTCATCTCACCAGGGTTAGGGGTATACACGCAGGGAGGGTGACATGTGGTGGTGGTGGTGGTGGTGGTGGGGGGGAAGAGGGGGAGTGAGGGATACACGCGGGGAGGGTGACATGTGGTGGTGGTGGTGGTGGGGGGAAGAGGGGGAGTGAGGGATACACGCGGGGAGGGTGACATGCAGGGTGGGTGACACACGGCGGGGGGGGGGGGGGGGGGTTAGGGGTAAGTGCGGGGATGCTGACAGACGGAGGGAATGAGGACAGCTGAGTGAGTTTCCCTGCCTTATGAGGCCCGGAGTGGGTGAGAGAGAAGCAGTGTTGTACCCTCCCGCTCCTTGCCTGTACCTTCTTCTCCAGCATGGCGTAGCCAGCATCAGCTGAGGCAGACTCTCGCCGATCATCGTCCCGTAAGTAGCTGAGCGGCTGGAAACTGTTCTTGAAGTTCTCCTTCTGTTTGTTCATACTCTTGGCCCAGCGTTCCATGTCTTTGGCAATCTGTAATGGCAGAGATACCCACTCAGAATGGATCGGCTGGGAACCATCAGTGTCGCACCCTGCTGGGGGGTCAGGGTACAACTTACTGCCTTCCCCACCCGCTTCTCCACCAGAAACCACTGAAATCCAGTCCAAGGCTGCTTGCTGAGCTAGGCCCCACCCTCTAAACCCAACTCCTTTAAACACTTCAATATAACAGGTGGATGGGGTGTTGGAACCCTCCTCCTCGAGCCTGTTACACAGGAACAGGAGGCCATTCAGCCCCTCCCCCTCCTCCTCAAGCCTGTTACACAGGAACAGGAAGCCATTCAGCCCTCCTCGAGTCTGGTATATTGGTAGGTCCAGGCTGATATTGTCCTGCTTAGTCCCCACTGCTCATCAAAACACTACCAACATCAGCTCTGAAAAGACCACCCAACACCCCAGCCCCACAGCCTTGACGACATTTCTAGTGGATATGTGCGCATGCGTAAATGTACGTATGGGAGAGAGAAGGGGGCGGGGAGAGAGAGAGAGAGAAGGGGGAGGAGTGAGAGAGAGAGAGAGAGAGAGAGAGAGAGAGACGGAGGGGGAAGGGGGGGTTAAGAGAGACATAGAGAGAGAGAGAGAGAGGGAGAGGGAGAGGGGAGACACAGGC